AGATTGGCTTCAAATTCTCTACAAAAGTCTCAGCTCCAGGTGGTAGTGAAGTAAGCTATAAGATCCTTAAGGAAAGAAGTTTTAAACCAATAATTTTATATTCACCATACCATTCTCAAATAAAAAATCTACAAATGAATTTTGATAATAGAAAAAAAATACACTTCAAGCAATTTTGTTCTCATGATTCCTTTTGAGGAAACAACTAGAGGTTAAATTTGAACCAGCCAAGAAATCATAAAATTCTACAGCAAAGAACTGGAAATAAGCATTGACTGCATTTAATTCTAAAAATAAGACAAAAACTCATGTAACATTAGGTATCAAACCGAGTGTAAATATCCTGGAAATGTAGTAATGAACCAGCTAACAAAAATAGGAGTCAAGAATGAAAGGTGAAAGGTAAGTTGTATGACCTATACTAGGGAATAAGATCTATCATTTAAGCAATTTAAACATACTTTTTGGTACTAGTATAAACACTAACAAAGATAATATCAATAAATATCAGAGAATGTGAGAAAAGAGGGAAGAGAAAATAAATTTTGTTACTATTCAGAATAGGAAACTTATAGACACTATCTAAAATAGAACTAACAATAAGGGTATTATATAAAGTTGTCATTATAATGGTACACAAAGAAAAAAACCTACATATCAGAAGTACCTACACACACACACACACACACACACATATACACACACACAGAATGGACTATATCATTAAAAACTTAAGAGAACTGGTGCAGCCACTGTGGAGAACAGTATGGAGCTACCTCAGAAGACTAAAAATGGAACTCCCATTTGACCCAGTGATCCCACTACTAGGAATATATCCCAAGAAACCAGAAACGCCAATCAGAAAGGATATATGCACCCCTATGTTCATAGCAGCACAATTCGCCATAGCTAAGATTTGGAAACAGCCTAAGTGCCCATCAGCAGATGAGTGGATTAGAAAACTGTGATACATATACACAATGGAATACTATGCTGCGGTAAAAAAGGGGGAACTCTTGCCTTTTGCAACAGCATGGATGGAACTGGAGAGCATTATGCTAAGTGAAATAAGCCAGTCAGAGAAAGATAAATACCACATGATCTCACTCATTTGTGGATTATAGAGAACAACATAGACTGATGAAAAGGGACAGACCCAAAGACTGAGAAACAGCAATCAGGCTATCAATCTCCAGAAGGAAAGTAGGGGAGGGCGCGGGTAAGGGGAAGAGATCAACCGAAGGACTTGTATACATGTATATAAGCCAAACCAATGGACATGGACAACAGGGGGAATGGGAGCATGAGTGTGTGTGTGGGGGGGAGGTTGGGGGTTAATGGGGGGGATGAGGACACATTTGTAATACCTTAACTAATAATAATAATTAAAAAAACTTAAGAGAAATTATAAAAAAAACCAAAATAAAATCATATTACCAAACACATAAATCAATACATATAAATGGCCTAAGCCTACCTTAATAAAGGATAAAGAACTTCAGGTTGTATCACATAGCAAAGATCAAGCGTGCACTGTATGCAAGACATACATCTAAAATGGTAATTCAGAAGGGTTGAATTCAAATAAATATACGAAAATAAATTAGGGGTCCAGCCTAAAATCAGACAAGTTGAAATTCAAGGGGAAAACTTTAAACAGTGCAGGGAAGGGCACTTAATTAGGCAAAAGTCAGTAGTTCACAGTGAAGATGCATCAATTATAAATCTCTCACTCCAGTTAATGTAGTGTTGAGTTCCATAAAGCACAATGCATGGAAAAAGAAACAATAATACTAGTAATAAGAAACTTCAATGCAGCTGAAGAAAGGGATGAAGAAACTTTTAAAGTACTAACAGAGAAAGATCTCAAGGATGGAGATATAGATATATATCTCCTTAAGTAAAAAAGCAAGATACAGACTATGTATATAAATGCTACCATTTTTCCCTACCTCAAAAAAGGGGGGGCAATTTATTTATATATGCTTGTATACAATGTGCAAACAAATCTCTGGAAATATAAACAAAAAAGGAGCAACAGTGGTTATTTGTTAGAGGAATGTGAACTGGACAGATGGAGAATGGAGTAGTAAGGAAACTTAAAAAATAGACTTAAAAATATATGTTGTTCCATGTGAATATATTATCTATATAAACATCTAAAAAGAAATTATACTACAGAGGCATAGAAGATAAAGCAATTTTCCCTTGGGGAATTGGGAGATGTATTTAGAATGTATAAAATTTGAACTGAGACTTGAAGGATGAGTGAACTCTCTAAAACAGGGTCCTCAAACTTTTTAAACGGGGGGCCAGTTCACTGTCCCTCAGACCGTTGGAGGGCCGGACTATAGTTTAAAAAAAACTATGAACAAACTCCTATGCACACTGCACATATCTTATTTTGAAGTAAAAAAAAAACCAACAACACGGGAACAAATACAATACTTGTATTTGCATGTAGCCCACGGGCCGTAGTTTGAGGACCCCTGCTCTAAAAAATGGAGAAGATTGGGAAGTTATTACAGGCAAAGGAAATAGGTTATACCAGTGATGGCGAACCTATGACACGCGTGTCAGAGGTGACACGCGAACTCATTTTTTGGTTGATTTTTCTTTGTTAAATGGCATTTAAATATATACAATAAATATCAAAAATATAAATCTTTGTTTTACTATGGTTGCAAATATCAAAAAATTTCTGTATGTGACACGGCACCAGAGTTAAGTTAGGGTTTTTCAAAATGCTGACACGCCGAGCTCAAAAGGTTCGCCATCACTGGGTTATACAAAAGCATGAGAACATAAAAGTGAACCTGGGAAATAGGGATTGGGGACTGAGTCTGTGAGGGCAACAGGGGGCATTAGAGGGGTGGAAAATGGCTCAGAAGAGGAATTTAAAAGTTTAGGCAACAGCCATTGGAAAGCTGATTGTTACGTTATGGTAGGTGCTGTTTGGTTCCATTTAAGGGACTTGAATGTATGGGCCATTCCATATGCCCAGTGCTGTAGAAATGAGACTCTGTCTGCTAGGCTGGTGGTTCTCAGTCCTGACTGCATATAGAGTCACGTGGAGCGTTCCATAAAATGCTGACGCTAGGCTCCCCCACTTCACACAATTCATTGAGAATTCTAGGGCTTAAGAACATGGAATCGGTAGTTTGCTCTAAACACTTACCAGGTGATTCTAATTACATGCATTTAATTTTGAGAATGCCATCTACCCCCACCCTTCCTCCTCCTCTTCCATCTTTTAATAAAGAGAATAATATTGTATAGAAAGTGGTTGTGACATAGGTCTAGAAAAGTCTCTGAACTAGAAGCAAGAAAATGGGAGATTATAGAAAATAGTTCAATCAGAAATGATAAAAGCCTTTAAAAAGTATGGTTATTTACCCTAGCCAGTTGCTAAGTGGTTAGAGCAGTTAGATTCTGGTCAGGGCATGTACCAGGAGGAGCCAAGATTTGATGTGTTTCTCACATGGATGTTTCTCTTTCTCTGTCTCTACCACTCCCTTCTACTCTCTCTAAAAATCAATGGAAAAATATTTTTGGGTGAGGATTAACAACAACATCAACAAAAAGTATGGTTATTTGAGGCCAGTGTAAAGTTTTGAATTTAAAATATATTTAAGTGGAGAAATCCACAAGGCTTGATCACTGATTAGGTGGAAGGGATTGAGAGTGATGATCAGCCAAAGATAACCTAGCTTGGATGGCTGGGTGTATGGTGATGTCATTAGTCGAAAGAGGAATCCACTGCTGGGCTGGTGTGGCTCAGTGGTTGAGCGTTGACCTAAGAACCAGAAGGTCGCAGTTTGATTCCTGATCAGGGTATATGCCTGGGTTGCAGGCTCGATTCCCAATGTGGAGTGTGCAGGAGGCAGCCGATCAATGATTCTCTGTCATTGATGTTTCTCTCCCTTTCCCTCTCTCTTCTTTTCTGAAATCAATAAAAATACATTTTAAAAAAAGAAAGGGGAATGCTCTAGGAAGTACTGGTTGGGGGTGAGTGTAGGTAGAGGCAAAATAGTGGATTCAGTTTTGCAAGGGTTGCCTTGAAGATATCTGGAATTTATAAGATGCACCAAGGGGCATTTGGATCTGAGCAAAGAGGAAAAGGCACTATTTAAAAATCTCTGCATTCCATCCACATCTAAAAAATTTTCCGCAGAGAACAGATCTCACCCTTAATCAGAGTCAGGACCAATTTGGGGGATAGGTACATATAAGAGCAATGTAAATATCCTGTCTTAGAGAATCTGGACCAAGCTGATACTGCAATGGAACAGTAAGAGATGATGGGCACACTGAAAGGAGGTGCAAGTGGTCCCCTTCTCAGGGTTCCAACCCGAGGGGAGTGAAGCTGGGCCTGGGGTGCAGAGCCTGTGTTGTTCTTTATGTTCTCTCTGTGTATTTCATCAGTGTCTCATCATTTTAGGCTAATGGTCATCACAGCCAATTTAGCTTAAAAGGTGCTTCTTTTTCAGGGAGAGCAAATGCTTCCTCTCCCTCTAGCCCTGCCTCTGCTTGCAAGGCAGCAGCTGGATGAGGGGGATAAGGCAGCATCCAGCGAGGAGGGATAAAGCCACTCTACCCTCAAAAGTCCCTTGAAGCTCAGGTCTGGAGCTCTGACCTAGACGGAGCTATTGCTGAAGGTCAGAATGCATTCCAGATGCTGGGACCTCAGAGTAGGGAACCCAGGGTCTCCGAAAGGGTAGAGAGGCCTGGGGAGATGGTGTTTGATGCAGGGGCACCCTGACCTTGCCCATGAGACATTTGATCTATAATGTTTCAACAGCCATCGGGTTCTCTTTTACCATCCAGTCCCCACTAATCAGAACATCTAAACTGGAAGGGAACCCTTAAGTAATGATCAATTATCGGTGAGGATATGCAATCTTGAAACTTCTAAGAAGTGAAGAATATTGAATTATTGTAATATGCCAATTGCAAGTTATTTGTTACTCACATTTGTCTAATGACTTTTTCCATAATAGCTTCAGTTTATACCAAAAAGCAGGATTGCTGAGTCCACTACCATCTGCCGAATTTCAGCATCTAAGGTGAGTGATTAAAGTAGGATTGAGCCATTTGTGTGATGTTTTTCATATAAAGGATAAGACTTATCAAGGGCCAAATGTCATCATGGTTTATGAGCTTCAAAAAGTGAAGCACTCTGGGAGGAGGGAAATAAAAGGGGGTAAATGGGAGATTATCTGTAATATTGTCAACACCAAAAGATATATTAAAAAAGTGGCCCTAACCGGTTTGGCTCAGTGGATAGAGCATCGGCCTGAGGACTGAAGGGTCCCAGGTTCGATTCCGGTCAGGGGCATGTACCTTGGTTGCGGGCACATCCCCAGTGGGAGTTGTACAGAAGGCAGCTGATCGATGTTTCTCTCTCATCGATGTTTCTGGCTCTCTATCCCTCTCCCTTCCTCTCTGTATAAAATCAATAAAATATATTTAAAAAAAAAGTGAAGCACTAATGAATTCTTTTAAAACTGTCACCATTTTTCTTATTAGGGTGATATTAATAAGAAAAAATGTTTATTAGGAAAACACAGAAAATAAAATATAAATAAGAAAATTTAAATCATGTATTGTCTTACTTCCTAGAGCTGATGACCATTTAATATATTTTAATGTATTTCTTTCCAATATTTTCAATGGATATATATGATACATATATTTATATATTTAATATGAAGAGAGAGACTATCTGGATATATTTGCCTAGAAATATGTTATATGTGTAATTTCTACATTGTTTCTTATGTTTGCTAAATGTCATATCCTATATAATAAAACCCTAATATGCAAATTGACCAAACAATGGAACGACCAGTCGCTATGTCGCACACTGACCACCAAGGGGCAGATGCTTAATGCAGGAGTGCCCTGGTTGTCAGTGCGCTCCCACAGGGGGAGTGTTGCTCAGCCAGAAGCCGGGCTCACAGCTGGCGAGCACAGAAGCAGTGGTGGGAGCCTCTCCTGCCTCTGTGGCAGTACTAAGGACCCCTCGGGGGTTGTCCACAGGCAGACATCCCCCAAGGGGTCCCAGACTGCGAGAGGGTGCAGACTGGGCTGAGGGCCCCCCCCCCCCCAGTGCATAAATGTCATGCACTGGGCCTCTAGTTGTATTATATTTCTCAAATATCTATTATCTAAAATTGAAAATGTAGAGGGAAAATTTATAAATCTTTACATAAAGCTTTCAGTTATACCATCACACAGAAAACATGGAAAATTATAATTTTAGTTCACATTTGTTAACAGGCAGATTATGGGATTGATAAACCCCAGCCAACATTTAGATAAGCAGATTATTTATATATATATGCACCAGGGAGCCAAAGGCAAGTAAATCTCTGTTGGAAGGAATCAAGAAGCACACTGTTCTCAATTTGGGGTCTTCTGAATCCTCAAAATTAGATTTGTTGACTCAGCCCAGCTCTATTGATTCTGAATGAGCCATTATAGTGGTATACATTTGCTAAAGTTCGTTTCTAAGCTTCTGCTTTTTAAGGTTTTTATTAGTAATAAATATCACCTAGTGTTGTAAGGTTTTTAGAAAAATGGTGCTTAATGAGAAATAAGCTGACTACTAAAAAATAAAAACATATCCTTTGTTGTTTAAGGAAAATACAAAACCTCAAAAAATCAGGCCTTCGGGTTATGACTTGAAGCATGAGTCTCTTGCATCCTTTGAGCTCCCGGCCGCCCAAAGAAGCTGGAAGAGCAACACGGAAGGGACGGACTCTGATGTGGAGTTCGTTTCAGAGACTAAAGTGATGAAGTCTACAAGGAAGAAGGCAGAGCCACAGCAGAGACATCCAGCAGCCCTCCCAGAAAAGGTCAGGCTCACTGAGAGATCCCAGGTGTGTTTTTTCTCTTCTTAGTCACCAAATGTGTAGTATTCTTCTTCTCTGGAAATAGCAGGTGGTAAAGGTTTTGCTTCATTTTCACATTTTTAAAGCACTCTAATTAAAACACACACATTATAATCTCAGTTTCCTGGACAAGGTTCCAATTTCTATTTTTTCTTCTGTGTTCTCTCTTTTGGAGGAAAGGTCAGATTGCTAATATCAGCACATCAGCAAAATGTATGGAGAGCTCAACCAACTGAAAGGCCCCCAAAGGATATGCCTGTATTTGAGAGACATATTCATATAGGATGCTCATATAGGATAAACCTGTAGACTTGAGGATTTTGCATCCAATGCTTTACAGCAAAAATGCTTAGCCAAATTCTATAATAGTTAGTTACCCCTATAGTCATGGTTCCGGGAAAATGGGATATAGTTTCAATAGTACAACTAAGTGTTGAGACTGATTTTAATAAATGTTCTACCTGAGAATGTCTATGTATCCAAATTAGTTTCTTTCCTTTTTAAGAGTTATTTAAATATGTTTTTTATTGATTTTAGAGAGAAAGGAAGGGAGAGGGAAAGAGAAACATCAATGAGAGAGAAACATCGATCTGCTGCTTCCTGCAGGCGCCCCCTGCTGGCGCCCCCTACTAGGGATCAAGGCCACAACCCAGGCATGTGCCCTGACCAGGAATCGAACCAGCAGCCTCTCGGTGCATGGGATGATGCTCAACCACTGAGTCACACCAGCCAGTGAGAGTTTCTTTCTTTTAAAAGAATTGCTGTACTTTCATTCTTACAATGTTACCTTTACTTAAGTCCTTTTTGAGAATTAGCCCTCAGATTCAGTTTGTAATAATGACAGTGCCCAAAACTCAGTGTGCCAGACACAATGCTAAATTATTACAGACATTATTATCTCACTACCATTTTAAATCCTTTACATGCCAAAATTTATGGCCTAGTTTATCTGCCTTATTCATCAAACTTGAGTTCTAATGTCTTTTTCCTATTTCCAAAAATTAAATTCACCCTTCAAGGGTAGATACCGGCTACCGTAAAATATATTAAAAAGAACTGCTGTAGGCTCTGAAAGGAATAAACTGCTTTAATCAGCAGATATCTACTGAACTTCTGCCCTCTGTAAGATACTATATTATGCATTGTGGGAGACAAGGTATTTTAGGCATGGTTCTTTCAGAAGCAATTATTCTGAACAATAGTTACATTACAGAAATATCTCACACATTCCTTTGTAATATCTTTGGCAAATGGTATATAGACTTTTCTTGAAAATCTTTAGTGATGGAGACTCATTACCTCCGAAGGCAGCCTTTGTCATTCCGTTTTTGTGTAGCTTGTTCTCTTAAAATATTGAAAGTCCAGTTCCCTATAACTTTAAAGTTTTGGTCATAAATTTTTTTGAGACAATAGAAGCCAAGCTGAATCTGTCTATAATCATCAGAATTTTATTTTGAATTGTGTATCATATACATACAAGTTCATGTATTCAGCAGATATTCCTTCAGCCCTTGCTATGTCCAAAATACTGCATGTGAGTAATACCTTGTGTATAAATTAGTTTTATCCTTTAACCCTGACTTCCATTAATTGTGCAATTCCAAAATTGGGGGTTTGCCTCATTTATTTGCTGCGAGTTTGACATGCTTGGTCTAGAGGAAACACAGCTGCTCAGATAATAACTATAGGTACAGAGGCTGCTGCTGCTTTGTGGGAAAGATGTATTTGTTAACCAGCCAGTGTGCGGCTGCCTGTATGGGACTGTTGTGAAGAATTGTTTTGTCTGATTCTCCTTGTTAGCAATGGCTACTTGGCCTGTAATAAAGACTCATTCTTACACACCCACAACTTCTCATGGCTTCTCTATCTACCACCCAGCATCCAAGAAGGTTCAGCCCCTGGCAGAGGGGCTCAGACCCTACAGTTAGCATAGTTGGACAGGATCAGAACCTGTACTCCCACACTTGTACAAGCATGCAGGGTTTGGCTCATAGATAGAGCATCTGCCTGCAGACTGAAGGGTCCCGGATTTGATTCCAGTCAAGAGCACACACCCGGGTTGTGGGCCTGGTCCCCAGTAGGGGGTGTGCAGGAGACAGTCTGTCAATGGTTCTCTCCCATCATTAGTGTTATTCTCTCTCCCCCTCTCTCTGTCTCTCTCCCTCTCTCTCTCTCTCTCTCTCTCTATCTCTCTCTCTCCCCCTCCTTCCTCCCTGAGATCAATAAAATACATTTTTTTAAAAAGAGTGCTCTGACAGTGGCATAGTCGGCAGGATAGTAAACTGAGGCCACTGGAGCAGAGGACTCAGGAGCAGTGCATGCTCTGACAGGGAGCATGGTGAATACAGAGTGCCTTAGGAAGACAACTAAGCTGTGATGGAGCAGCTAGATTGAAAGAGGCTGGTGTAAGACGAGGATGGAGTGACCAGACCGTAAAGATCCTATATATAACCTTAGACAAGAGGTTTCACATTTATCCCCAAAGCAATGGGAAACCATTGAAGAGCTTCAGGTACGGAAGTGGCATGGCTAGATTTTCCTTGGGAGACTATTACTTCTGCTGAGTATTGAAGAAGGGTTAGTAGAGAGCAGAGTGAATTCAGGCAGCGTAGTTAGGCTATTACAGGGTAGTTAGTGTTCGCATGAGAAATACCAGTAGTAAGGGCTAGGATGATGGTGGGGGAGTAGAGAGAAGTGGATCCATTTGTTTCTTCTGTTGTCTTGAGGAGGGAACACTGGCACCTCTGGGTGATATATTGAATATAAAAGGTGAAGCAGAGGGAAATGGCAAGAATGACTACAGAACCTCTGGCTCTTGCACCTGGTTGGATGGTGAATCCATTCATTGAAATATGGAATGCTAGAAGATGGTTGGGCTTGTGAGGAGGAGCATGACTTCAGCTTACACACTTCGAGACTCCCTAGAGAACATGCCAAGTGAGGAGTAAGGGTAAGAAGAAAAGAAAGACTACACAGGAACCTGCCTAGCAGTCTGAGGATGTGTGCACAAGGGATTGTGAGGGACTAGCCAGAGCAGTAGGAGAAGAAATCAGGAATTTGTTTTATTATTAAAGCCAAGGGGAGGGGGAACAAAAGGCAACCCAAGGGGAGATGGTCAGAGAGGTAAAATTCTACTGAGAGGCCAAAGGCCTCTAAAAAAGTCCATTGACTTAATGACTTAGGGGTAATAGGGATGAGCTCAGGAAGCATTTTACTGTTTTTGTTGGAGTAAAGAGGGGAGAAGAATAGATAGTTTGATTAGCAAGTGGAGGGTGAAGAAAGGGAGACTCGTTATATGTCAACTCTTGAAAAGGTAAAATAATTTTACTTCAGAAGATATCCTGTACTTACCAAAATCTACAAGGTGGGTAGATCAGGAGACTGTGTCATTCTTTATAAGCTGTTGAAAAATGAATTTAATCAGCTTTTAAACTGCAATTGAAACAACTTTTAATTACTTGAGGATTATTTGCAGTGAATTTTTAATATTCTGTCTGGTAAATACAGTACTAGGCATTACCACTGCCAAAGTAAGTGCAAGGAGTGTAATTAATTTTAATATTTGCCTAAGTAGAAGGGATTAGGAAGGCAGATGTGCTCTGAGTAAATCTCACCACCTGCTCCAAAAGTTTGATAAAAAGGGCTCTGGTATTAGCAAATAATTTAGCTCATTTGCACCACAGTTCTGCTCTGTTAATACAGGTAATTAATTAATTACCTGTTCTTTCTAGAGAATTGTTTTTTATCACACTCTTGTGTTTCTCAGGAGATTCCACTTTCTTTATCCCGAAAAACTTTCCTCTCATTTCCTGAAAAACAGTCTCCCACTAAAAGTAATATTCTTGTGGTTTCCTACATCTGCAACTTTTAATTCTTTTAAGTTTTCCCCGTGTTATTTGTTAATTCATTTCACTGAACAAACAAAATATTAATCTTTTACTCTGGACCAGGTGCTGCGGTCTCCAGGATTAACACAGTTAATCTTGCCCTCAAGAAGCTAAGAGTCTGCCTCTAGCCATTCTAATCAAAGGAGCCCTTACCCTGCATCATAAATTTTCCATTCTTTTTCTCACCTTGCAAGTATGAGGACATCTTTCAATATCAATAGAATGACTGTAGATATCTCACATAATACTAGGCATGTCTAGTATGCATTGTTAAGAACTACATAATAAGAGAAAGCCATCGTAGATACTGTGAAATGAATACATATCTTACTCTTCAGCAGCACCTCCATAGATTTTAAGAACAGTATGTATATCCATATGAGACATTATTTATCCAATATATGGGCAGTAATTCATGCAGCTCCTTTGCAAAATACTACAAGCCTTTTGATTCACCATTGAGCATAATAATTTACACCACTCATTTCATACTTAAGTTGTCTTATGATAGTCTTTTGAATTGTTGTCTGTTATTATTTAATCTTTAATAATGTATAACTAAATCATATACTTCTTGAGAGCAACGATCAGAAATTTAATTTCCTCTGTTTCTCCTACAGAGATCTGCTTCTATACAAAAGTTAATAGAGGGTGAGTGAAGGTAGTTTAATGTGTATCATTGATTGCCACTAATCCTTGTATATTTTCGTTAATACCTTGCTATAGGCCTCTTCTTGGGAAATGAAAAGGAAGGAGAATCAGAACCTTGTGCAAGAATGTCAGGGTTTGATTGAAGTTGAAACCAGCAACAGCGATCAAGATACAATCCTGGTGAGATGAACTTTACTGACTAAATGACACCTTGAGATTTATTCACTTTCATAAAGATTAGATGAATCCAAGAAGCATTTCACATTAGTTCCTCAAAGTAACTGAAACATCTAATTAATGACCTAGTTTTTTAGGTGATGAAACAATACTCGGAAAAGTTACTTACCCAAGGCTAAACAAACTAGTAAAAATAAAACTAACTTATACCTCCTGACTGCTAGCTCATGGTGCTTTTCATTTTAGTTATTAGGCTGTGAAAACTTTAACATTATATACATACATATACATTGTATGCTTGAAGATCATCTGAAAACCTATATGCTCAAATCCAAAGCCTCTGAACCTTTCTGTAATTTGTAATATGAATTCTTATCAGAAAGTGTAGTTCCAAATTGACTTAAACTAGGCTACTGTCAAAAAGAGCCCTGCTAAGAGAAGTCTGTTTAAAAAATAGACATACTTTCCATTTATTCCCCTTGATTTAGTATCCCTGACTCTAGCTTGGTAGTTGATATCAAAAACTATATGTCTGGACTATTCTACCGTAGACCCCAACAGAGTTGCTTTGCCTCGCCGAACCCAGTGCAAAAGCCCTTGGTGTTTAGGAAGAACTGACTCAGGGATTCACCACTTGAGAAACACTTGATCTTTGAAGCCAAGTTAAAGACATTGTCCATTATGTTATACTAGAGGCCCAGTGGGGTCCCTCAGCCTGGCCCACAGGAGCAGGCCAAAACCAGCTCTCCAACATTCCCCGAGGGGACTCAGAATATGAGAGGGCACAGGCCAGGCCGAGGTACCCCTCCGGTGCACGATTGGGCCAGGGAGGGACACAGGAGGTTGGCCAGCCGGGGAGGGACTGCAGGAGGGCTCCAGGGCATGTCAGGCCCGTCTTGCTCAGTCCCGTCAGCCAGACCCTAGCAGCAAGCTAACCTACCGGTTGGACATCTGTTCCCTGGTGGTCAGTGCATGTCATAGCAACTGGTTGACCGGTTGACTATCTGCCCCCTGGTGGTCAGTGCACATCATAGCGAGTGGTTGAACGTCCTTAGCATATCTATAATAATAAAGGAGTAATATGTTAATTAGACTGGGGTCCCGGGTGCCTGCCAGTGACTGGAGGGAAGCCTGGGTTCCCGGTGCCATAGGGAAGCTGGTGCCGGTAGCCCGGGGAAGGAAAGCCTACTCTTGCAGTAATTTCATGCATCGGGCCACTAGTCAATAGCATATTACGCTTTGAGTGGTTGAACGGCCAACTGGTCAACTGGACACTTAGCATATTAGGCTTTTATTATTTAGGATAGTGTCCTTTGTATTATAATACAAAGTTCATTCAGATATTAGAATTTAATGCCAGGAAAAAATCTATTTGATATTTTTTATCAGAACATGAATTTTATTACTTACTATGGTTCTCTTTTTACCTTTATTTCCAAGAAGCTTATAGCTAAACTTTAAATAAGAATAACTATAGTCACCTAGATGGTTGCTATTTTTGACATGATAACAAAATGAGAGTATTTAGAAAAGGGTTTGGTTCATTGTTCATGTCTTTAGGTAAGGTACTGCAGAATGCTATTTGGAATTATAGATTAGATTTCAGTTACAAATGAGCCAATAAAGTCTTCTGACTTTAGCCCAATTTCTATCCCTTTGGCAGAAAATCATTGTCATAAAGTACAAGGCTTAATAATAATTGGTTTTATTTTTAAAATTTTTCATTATGGAAAATTTAAAACATAGTACAGTGGGGCCTTGACTTACGAGTTTAATTCGTTCTGAGACCGAGCTCGTTAAGGAGCTCGTTAGCTCAAATCACTCTATCAACTCAATGCAAAAAATCTGCCGAGAGACAGCTGGTATCTCAAAAAACTCGTTAGTCGGGACACTCGTAAGTCAAGGCCCCACTATACAATCAACTCCTATGTGCCCATTTTTCATCTCCAACAATGATCAAGTCATGGCCAGTCTTGTTTCACTCATACCTCCCCCAGCCCCCATTACTCCCAGGCAGCATATCACTTCATCTATAAATTAGAATTATTTTAAGAAGCCATTGAAAGGATATTGAAAAGAGCTAGGAGTGATTTGTGAAAGGGAGCAGGAAAGTACCTCCTTTTGACCAATAAGGACAACTAAATCCAGGATATGAAGAAAGGGAACCACCAAATTATTTTCCAAAGAAAAAAGAACAAAATTTAATCAGAGGCCCAAAAGGAAGAGAAAACTGCAACTTCTATTGTAAATAATGACAACTTTATTTACCTCTTTGAAGCAAAATGTGGTATAGCTGTACCCACCTGCTTTTCAGGATCTTCAAAATCTTGACTTGTATTTTATGCAGCCATTGCTTTGTCACCTTTCCAAGCTTTTAGTTAGTGCTTTTCATAGATTAGGTATGACATTTATATTAATTTTTTTGTCCTTTTATGTAATATTTCTCAAATTCTCAAGTTACTTGTGTGTATGCATGTGGTATCATTTATTTGTATCCCTGTGATCCTAGTAGGAAGTCTGTTTTGAAACTCATGGTATCCAGTTAATTTGGATAAATAGGGATTATCCAAAGTTGCATACTAATTTCTCCATTTGGCCATAGTTGCAGTAATTCCCAGTAGGAAATAATTCTGAGTGTTTGACTATCTGTACTTTCTTAAACTCAGAAATCAAACATAATTCTTCTTAACCCCTGGTCATCTTCCCAGTTATCTTCTATTTATGGTGCCTGTGTGAATGTGTGTGTGCATGTACTTTAATTCCGACCTATATCTGTCCCATTTGAAGAAGGAAGGCACTCAGGGCTAACAGTGCTACGAGAGGTTATTACTAAAGGAAGAGCAATTAGCTACTACACGGGGCACTCTCCACCCCCTCCCATAACCAGGTGGTTTTTATTAGTTTGATGAATTTGCTGGGACCCAGGGTCTTATTATTTTCAGGTGTAACAGGCTCAGAACTATATGTTCAGCACACGGAAGAAAGTTCATCCCACGGGAATGATTTCCCATGATTTGAACATGTGAGACTGTTGTATAAGATCACAATGGCATTTTAGTCATTTAGGAGATGAATACAGCCTCAGTGCAATTGGAAATCTCAGACTGACCTTACACTGGGCATTCTTTCCCTTTACACCAATCTTCGTGGGCCAGCCAGCTGCAATCTGACTGTTGCTGGTGAGCAATATGCCTGAATGTTCAAAAGGCTTCCAGTTAAAACAGCCAGTGTGTCCGTCTCCCTCACACTCTGCCTACCTGTGCTCCTATGAGAGTATTTTTTCACGTTGTATGATCCATTCTGATTAGCAGCATGTTCTTTCTTCTGCTGTGTTAATAATGTCTGTCTTTTGAAAGGATTTTTTTTCTACGTTAGTTCATTTCATATCCTTTTCTTCCAAGTTTCAGACACACCTTGATCTGCCTTTCTGACTGACAGTTGTACAGTTTCAAGTGAAATGATAAGAATATGGTTTGCTTCTCAGATTTATGTTGACTCTGACCATAGCTGATTATTTCCACCATGTTATAATCATTCATTCCCCCAAATCATCTCATCTGCTGTGGCTTAGGGTTACAACAGTTTCATCTGTTTTCCTAATGTCTTCCTCTTCCCATTCCCCTAATTCAGCGGTTCTCAACCTGTGGGTCATGACCCCTTTGGGGGTTGAATGACCCTTTCACAGGGGTCGCCTAAGACCATTGGAAAACACATATATAATTACATATTGTTTTTGTGATTAAGCACTATGCTTTAATTATGTTCAATTTGTAACAATGAAATTGGGGGTCACCACAACATGAGGAACTGTATTAAAGGGTCACGGTGTTATGGGTTCACTCAGCGAGATAGACCACCGACTCAGAATTTAAATTTAAGAGCCTTTATTAAGCTGGCCAGCTGACTACAGCTACAGCACCCTGCCAAAGCAAAGGCTGACCTGCAGTGCCGACTGCAAGAGTTACATTTTATTATTAAATTTTGTGGCGGCCCAGAGAAAAATGTGTCTTTCAAATTCTGGGCCCCCCAATATGGAGGACAACTCTCTTTATTTATACTTTTTCCAGTCCTTTGTCTCCCAAATTTGGAATGAGACTTCCGGCCTTCTGAGAAAGAAGGCCTGCATGCTGGGAAGGGGCCATGAGACCGTATCTCAAGGCCTGGCCTGATGTCAGTACCTTCCTATCTATGTGTTTTAGGAACAGACAGCACAGTGCACCCCTTCTGGCGGAAGTGCCAGATATGCAGCCCAGTACAAAGGCATTAGGAAGGTTGAGAACCACTGCCCTAATTCTTGATTGACTGCCCTTCATGTTCCTTTTCTCCAGGCCTACGGTCTGTTGAAGCTATTTGTAAAAACCCACATTCTTTAATTTTTTTCTTTCCCAATGCGATAATCCTTGCTTTCTAGTCATTTTTAACTTTTGTCTCTTTTTGCTCTACATTTTGTATCACATTCACCATTCTCTCTTCGTTTTCCTCACCTCCAGTTGCTTCTGATCATACACTTTGTTGGTGTCACTTCCATAACATTTTATTTCTTTTTTGATATTAATTTATACTTGCCCTTTTAGCCAGTGCAGGCCATTCATTTTCAAAGTCCATGTACTAAGTGTTCTAGATCAGACCTTGCAGGTGATTTGGAGCTTTGGAAGCCTTTGACTAGGATGCAGTTAAAACATCAGCCATTTTCTTGAGATTAATAAAGTTATCATAATAACCTACTGAGTGGGAGAGCATATTCACCAATTATACATCTGATAAGGGGTTAATATCCAAATTTATAAAGAACTGATACAACTCGACACCAAAATACCAAACAACCTGATTAAAAAATGGGCAAAGGACCTGAATAGACACTTTTCCAAAGAGAGCATATAGATGGCCAATAGACACATGAAAAAATGCTCAGTGTCACTAATTGTCAGAGAGATGCAAATTAAACCGCAATGAAATATCACTTCACACCTGTCAGAATGTCTGCCATCAATAAATCAACAAAC